GACGGCTGCATCCTGTGACAACACACTCGAACCAGCAATGGAAAACAGATTACCAGTGCTTTTTTTAACAAGTGCACATAATGGCTGTAGCCTATATTTTTATGAAGAAAATATTGGCCATTAAGTGATTAATGTTATTTAACCTAATAATTCGTTAGGCTTGATACCCTATGTCTGGATGATATATAATGACTTGCTACAGGCAAGAAGTCAAATGACAACACACTCGAACCAGCAATGGAAAACAGATTACCAGTGCTTTTTTTAACAAGTGCACATAATGGCTGTAGCCTATATTTTTATGAAGAAAATATTGGCCATTAAGTGATTAATGTTATTTAACCTAATAATTCGTTAGGCTTGATACCCTATGTCTGGATGATATATAATGACTTGCTACAGGCAAGAAGTCAAACTAGAAGATGTAACAATCCCTCTCCCTTGCAGCCCTAATTTTTATGAAGACACAGAAATTCAAGCATATGACTTTGACCAACTGGGCTTATAATCATAAAAAATGGAGGAGGGCCTCCTGGGAGAAGGGACCAACCATAATTGGTCAATTCCAAAAATTTATATCAATGTCAATATGGCATTTTACAGAACAAAGTAATTGTACATGATCTCTGTTTTATAAATGGAGAAAATTATGTAAAGAAAGATTTTTTAAAATGACCTGGTCAAATCCAGTAGTAGAACTTAATTTCCTACAATAAGACTCCAGTTACCATACACTCACTAGGCAATTTTTCTGTAATGTCCACAGTAACAGAGATAAGAAAAATCTCTGCAAACAGCATATCTGAGGGACATCTTTTTTTTTCCAGTCATGCTAAGATTTCTTAAACAATACTGTGTATCTGTTCTGAAGATGGATTATTTCCATGCTACTTATTAGCATCATGCCATCTTAATTTTATGCAGTTCTGAAAATCAAAAATTATTATTTCTTACAGTGGCACAGCATATATTTAATTCAATTTAAAAGCAGAATAATGTTGTGGGGTTTTTTTTTCCAAATGCTCCCATTTTATTAAAATCAAGTAATACCATGAGAAATTTTGGGGAAAAAATCAAGATTGAAATACAGATTAAAATAGGCTTAATATACTACCTCAGATAGGCTCGGACTCTGCATCCTCGAAACCAGCTCTGGATTTTGACAGCAGCTTTGTACTCTATTTTTCTGTCTTCATCTACAGATCTGAAAATATAAAAAGTAGTAATACCTGTCAGCATGGTAATTTAGTACCAAGGCAGAAAAATTCTTCTAAGTATGTCCTACTGTTGCAGTTTGTGATCTTTTTCGCCAGGTTTTTCACTTTTTAATTCTACATAGTTCAGCATATTATGAAGACAGCAAAGATAGATTATTGCAACTTGTAGATGATGTAAGGTTTGGGAGAGTGTACTTCTTATTCCCATACAATACTGAATATCCATGTCAGCATGTCATGGACTTCTGTTGTAGGTGAAATATATGGATAATGCTTTAATGATAATTAGGCTTGAATTATAACAAAAATCCTGTAGCTGTGTATAAAATCGTGTCTCTGCATGAATATTAAATAAACTAACTGTGGTCAATATTATCATGATAAGTATCAATTGAATTAATAAGAAGCCTGTATTAAGGGTGACATCTAGTTCAAATACATTGTTTTATGACTGATACAAAATATTTTATTCGTTTATTATCTGAACAGTGATAGCATCAATAATGGTGACAGATACACTCCTCGTCTGTAGATTTTTGTAATAAATATGAGCTGATCTTACAGGGTGAAAGTAGAGGATTTACACCTTTTAGCTAGTTTCTTAGAAAGGAATTTAAAGAGGAGAAATATGAAAAAGAAGAAGAGGTGACTGAAGGAAAGTGAGATACAAATGTAACTTAAAACTACTATGAGTTAGAACAACAAAAGCATAGGAAAGAAACTAGATGTGGAAATTTCCAAACTTTAGAAGGCTTGGAATGTCAGGATACGAAGTCTTAGTGTGGCTTAAAAGGAAGTCAGGAATTGAAAAAAATGGTGTTGTAATTTGGATAGATTCCAAACGGATGACCATGGGAATCTTTTCCACGGAATTATAGTAGTCAATGCAACAGCTTATTGAGTCTTGACAGGACTTTTCACAATGGGAATTCAAAGACACAGATTTTGGAGATAACGTAGAAATGAAACTGGCAGCATATTGGCATGTGCTGCAGACAGGCAAGGAAAGAACAAAAGGAAACAAAAGAATTAGAAAATATGTGAGGGTTGCAGCATTGATTTATATAGATGCTAGAGGAACCAACAAAAAAGGGAGGATACAGAGAAAGACGAAGAATTTGTTACATGAGAGGAAAGGTTATCTAGAAAGAGATACTGGTGATGCATCTGAAGATGCAAGATAGATGTAGGTGGAGAATTGATGACTTCAAGGAGATTTTCAAGAACTATATAGCTGTCGAAGCTTTCTGTCAAATGACATAATACAAGGAAAAGGCATGTGCACAAGTGGGAACGAAGCACAAGTAAAAGGACCTCATCAGAAAGTCAGAAAATAATTCCGAGAGATAGTCCTGCTTGCCTTCTTTCTGTGATTCTGTCTACTAGGTGAATAGTGTTTGTGACAAAGCTATAAGTCATGTAAGGAAAACCATTAATCTAAAAGAGATTAAAGAAATATATGAATCTGGAAGCGACTTTTCAGAGAGTCCAGGAGGAAATCATTACTATGATAAGTTTCAATGCTGAGGGGTAGAACCCAGCTATGAGATCACCCCTAGCTTTTATTTACTTTTTTGTCTGTTTGTTTCAAAATGTCAATAACTATCAAGTCTTTGAACTTAAAATTATATTTTAATTTTCATGGATTTTTTGCTATCCCATTTTTATTAGGAACATATTTACCAAATAGTTTAATTTGTTACACCTGCCACTAAAAAACAATTAGGTTACTATTAGTTAGTTTTCTTAACTAGTTGATACTAGTTAGCTCTCCTAACAAACTGTTGTGCCAACATCAATTGCCTTGGTAAACACCAACAAGATTAATTTTTATGTGATAAATTAGGATTATCCTCGTTATATTTGTTGAAAAACGAAACACAGATTTACTACCAGAGATCAAGAAGCATTAGCTCCATTCATTTTATATCATCTGGTGCAGCATGTGCTCTCAAATCACATTAAGTGGGCACAAATTTTCATCATCATCTGACACGCATCAGACCTGTCCAGTACCTGGAAACTGTGAGAGACTTTTTTACCTAAGACCACAAAATAAGTCAATATCAAAGCTGGCATTTATGCTAGAGAGCTTCCTTGTTCCTGTCTCGTGCAGCTTCCTAGACTTCATAGGAAGCAGACACCTCCAGAACACTTTTACCTAGAGGTAAATGATTTTGATTAAAAGGGTACGAGCAATTTGGCCCTGGACAGTCAGCCATTACAGTGTGGAAATGAAAGGAATGTGGGACTGGCCGTGTCAGAGGTGACAGCTCCAAAACCAGTCCTACCCACTTGGCAATGGCAACAACCTGTTTCTGGAAGAGCAGGAGCCTTCTCCTCTATTACTCCCTGTTAGGTTTTTTAGCTGGCATTCTGTCCTGCCTGGCTGAGTCAGTTTAGAAGTCTTTGTAAAGTTTATTGAAGCAGACCAAGAGCAGACTTGTTTCTCTTACAGTATAGTTCCACAAACACTTTCAACTGGCCCTGCCAGCAGAAGAAGTGGTTTGGGGCGTAAGTTGCTCAGGCTGGTGTCTGCCCTTCTGATCAGATTGCATAGTTGTCATATTGTTTGAATTAAACTTCTGGAGTGACAGATACTTCTCAAAGTACTGAATGTTAAAAAGGCATACCTAAGGTCAGCATCTGACATATAGATGTCAGTAAATAAAATTAGGTTCTAGATGAGTAAGTGATAAAATTGTTTAATACTTAAAATAAGAGAATGCACTAACAAATCCTGTATATTCTAATGCTTATCTTGACAGTGTACTTCTCAAAGTGCAGGCTTATGGCATTTTTGCATTTTGCCATCATTGGGCAAGTCCTTCCCTAGAAAGGTGTTTTCCCTAAAAAGACACAGTTTAGGAGACCTCATACCTCTGACACGAACACAGTTCTGTATAAAGCATGACAGGAACATTATAAAGTTCAGAAAAACATTATTAAGTTAAGGCAAACCTGTCTAACCACAACCAACAGGCAAGATACTACAGTCATCAACCTGTCTTGATTTTTAATGGAACAGGTGTAAAATCCTAAAATAGCAAATGCATTTTGAAAGATAAAGAAAGCATTCTAATTTGGGCATTTACTTTAAAGCACTTCAATTACTATGTTCCTCCCACAGCAGTAGTTGCTAGCAAGAGTACTGTATTGGATTTGCGTGGCAAGGTTTTGGTAGGGGGGGGGGCTACAGGGGTGGCTTCTGTGAGAAGCTGCTAGAAGCTTCCCACACGTCCAATACAGCCAAAGCCAGCAGGCTTCAAGATGGACCCACCGCTGGCCAAGGCCGAGCCCATCAGCGACAGTGGTAGCGCCTCTGTGATAACATATTTAAGAAGGGGGGAAAAATCCTGCACAATGCCAGCAGCAGTCAGAAGAGAGAAGTGAGAATACGCGAGAGAAACAACTCTGCAGACACCAAGGTCGGTGAGGAAGGAGGGGGAGGAGGTGCTCCAGGCACTGGAGCAGAGATTCCCCTGAAGCCCGTGGTGAAGACCATGGTGAGGCAGGCTGTCCCCCTGCAGCCCATGGAGGTTAACAGTGGAGCAGATATCCACCTTCATCCCCACACCAGAGCAGGTGGATGGCCGAAGGAGGCTATGACCCCGTGGAGAGCCCATGCTGGAGCAGGCTCCTGGCAGGACCTGTGGACCCGTGGAAAGAGAGGAGCCCACGCTGGAGCCGGTTTGCTGGCAGGACTTGTGACCCTGTGGGGAACCCACGCTGGAGCAGTCTGTTCCTGAAGAAGTGCACCCCGTGGAAGGGACCCACGCTGGAGCAGTTTGTGAAGAACTGCAGCCCGTGGGAAGGACTCATGTTGGAGAAGTTCGTAGAGAACTGTCTCCCGTGGGAGGGACCCCACGCTGGAGCAGGAGAAGAGTGAGGAGTCTTCCCCCTGAGGAGGAAGGAGCGGCAGAGACAACGTGTGATGAACTGACCGCAACCCCCATTCCCCGTCCCCCTGTGCCACTGGAGGGGAGGAGGTAGAGAAATCTGGAGTAATGTTGAGCCTGGGAAGAAGGGAGGGGTGGGGGGAAGGTGTTTTAAGATCTGCGTTTATTTCTCATTATCGTATTCTGATTTGATTGGCAATAAATTAAGTTAATTTCCCCAAGTCGAGTCTGTTTTGCCCATGACAGTAATTGGTGAGTGATCTCTCCCTGTCCTTATCTCAACCCACGAGCCTTTCATTATATTTTCTCTCCCCGGTCTAGCTGAGGAGGGAAGTGAAAGAGAGGCTTTGGTGGGCACCTGGCGTCCAGCCAGGGTCAACCCACCACAAGTACTTAGTTTTCACCAGGGTTGCTTTAAGTCAAGCTGCTCTGGAGGGTCTGTGCGTTCTAGATGTTCTACAGAATTCTGCTTTTAGGTCTTGATTAATAGGTGAAGAAAGAAATATTTTTCTTTCATCTTAAAATGTATTTGACACACATGGAACTAAATCCTTCAGGTCTTACTCTTGCAGGTATTTGCAAACAGGGCAACTCATACAAAAAAAGGTAAACACTCGGTAATCTATATTCTTCTGCCCCTTCTGATGCTTCAGATCAACTCGGGTCTTTTGGGGAATCTGGTATTTCACTGCAGAATACTGACTTTATAGAGTAAGTAACCGCATTTTTTACAGTATCATGCATTTTTATCTGAATGCCCTCAAATTATTTGTGGTCGATGAATGACTGCACAGATTACACTGACTCATGTGCTCACAGCATCCCAGATTTGGCAATTTTAACAGATCTATTACATTATGTAGATAAAGCATAGTTCTGAAAGAGAAATTAAAGCTGTTGTCTGACTCCAAAATACAAATGCTTCAAAAATACTTCAAAGACCACTGCAAATTTGACACACTTTAATGCCCAAAACTTATTTGTTAAGTTTAAAATTTTGATAAGGATCTACCAAAATCTCTAAACAAGATATTCTGTTTTGTTTCAGGATTTTACTGACAGCTGTGTTGAAGTAGTCCAAAATTTTC